TTCAGCAGCTGTTTCTGAAAGTATTACTTTGCATCATCCCATCATCATGCTGGGCTTCTGGATACCCTAACGAAAGAAGAACCTTGGGGTCATCACACTTAAAATATTCAGAAAAGAAGCATTTATAAATGCATCTCTCATTTTGCTGTTAGTGGATGCACTTGATTGCTTAAGAGCATGTTACCTATTTGTTAAAGAGGCTTCCTGATTGCTATGTAGACCTGATTTGTCCATTTCTCAGTTTGAGAAGCAGGTGTTTCAATCAGGGCTGATTGCAGGAGGCACATCAGATTAGCACCAGAGCCTGTCAAATCCTAAAACATGTTAAATAAACAGAACACTTGACAGTCAACGGTTTTAAGCACACACTTCACAAAACTCAGGGCTACATGGAAACTCAGAAAGACCGAAAACTTTGGCCCTGATGATCTACAGTGACTGGCAGTATCTAGAGTTGAGAAGGCTATTTGTTAGAAACCAATAATGATAAGCTGTGGTTCTGTTTGTTTTTATTTTTTTGTAGTTTTTAACTTCCTTTTAAAAATACAAAGTATACTAGCTTCCCTAATATCTGATGGTAATGTATTCCATAATTTTGGAGCATAGTTTACGAAGGTTGCATCACCAGTTTTTTTTTTTTTTTTTTTTAAAATAAGAAATATTGCTATTGTAATATTTCACTGTAAAATAAAAATTGATTGTGATTGTGCAGGTTTATTTAAACTATCTGTAAATTATTCGGTAATGCAGAGCCTTGTCATTGTCATTAAGAAGAATTACACTCCAAAAATGCTATAGCGACCCAATTGGAGTGAACGTAAGGCTTCAGCAGCTGTTTCTGAAAGTATTACTTTGCATCATCCCATCATCATGCTGGGCTTCTGGATACCCTAACGAAAGAAGAACCTTGGGGTCATCACACTTAAAATATTCAGAAAAGAAGCATTTATAAATGCATCTCTCATTTTGCTGTTAGTGGATGCACTTGATTGCTTAAGAGCATGTTACCTATTTGTTAAAGAGGCTTCCTGATTGCTATGTAGACCTGATTTGTCCATTTCTCAGTTTGAGAAGCAGGTGTTTCAATCAGGGCTGATTGCAGGAGGCACATCAGATTAGCACCAGAGCCTGTCAAATCCTAAAACATGTTAAATAAACAGAACACTTGACAGTCAACGGTTTTAAGCACACACTTCACAAAACTCAGGGCTACATGGAAACTCAGAAAGACCGAAAACTTTGGCCCTGATGATCTACAGTGACTGGCAGTATCTAGAGTTGAGAAGGCTATTTGTTAGAAACCAATAATGATAAGCTGTGGTTCTGTTTGTTTTTATTTTTTTGTAGTTTTTAACTTCCTTTTAAAAATACAAAGTATACTAGCTTCCCTAATATCTGATGGTAATGTATTCCATAATTTTGGAGCATAGTTTACGAAGGTTGCATCACCAGTTTTTTTTTTTTTTTTTTTCATTGTAGAACTGGGAACCTCCAATAAACCTGTATTATATGATCTTAAGGTTCTTGATGGAGTAAAATTAACAAGAGAACTGGCAATATAATTGTGGGCCCATTATGGGCTTTATGCGCAATAAGAAGGACTTTAAAATCTATTCTACATTTTATAAGAAGCCAGTGCAGTATAGCTAAAACTGATGTTATATGCTCTCTTTTTTAGAGCTGCCGAATTTTGGATACGCTGAAGTCTATTAATTGATTTTTGTGGAAGACCGGTAAAAAGTGCATTACAATAGTCAAGTCTACTTGAGATGAAAGCATGAATTAATCTTTCTGCATCTTTCTGGTTTAAAAAAGGACAAATTTTAGCTATGTTCCTCAAAAAAAAAAAAAAAATGAAGACTTTATCACCTTATTAATATGAGAATTAAAACTTAGATATGAGTCTAGAATTTGTACAAATTATCTTATAATTGCAGACTGTTTCCCAAATTGCAATTGCAAATGAAGAAATACTCAAAAATCATTGTGCAGTAATCGTAAAAATTACATTGAAACTTATTAATTATATTAAGTAATATTATTAATATGTATTACTCTAATGAAATGTAGTTGACATGCAGTTGCAGAGTTACTTAAAGTTAGTTATAGTTATAGTTAGAATGTCTAAAGTGGACTACTGAAATAAAATGTTAAATTATTGAAATTATGAATGCAATTATTAAACTAATGCATAAAATAAATGAATATGAGTAAGTTACAAAGATACATACTGCATACTGAAATTACACTGATTTGTGTGGATGTTGTCTATGGCATATAACTTTATAAATGAAATTCAGTAGGAGTGGAGATATTTTAAATGGGAAAATGTTCCAGTGGCTTTGCAGGCTTATAAAAAAAAAAGGGGGAAACATGTCAATGAGTTGCTGACATGCATGAAAACTTCACAAAAACACCTTCCCATGACATCTTCTTCCTCTTCAACAACCACTTTTTCTTCCTCTTTGACACCCAAGGGTGCTTTCATCTGCACTGTTGTTGAGCACTGATGTGACCATAATCTGCACAATAACAAAAACATAGTCAAATATAAAATTAGGTTGGTCATTTACTATCACTTTGATCATTTATCATTTTAAATCTTTCCAGATTGTGAGTTGGTCAGCAATATGTGCATCATGTCACACTGACTTCTGACCTGATGTGGTCCTGGGTAACTCAGTCCTGACAATATTTCTCTAATTTGTGAAGCCGAGACTGCTGAAACATATTGCACAGGACTTGCAACCAGTTTCCAGCTAAGTCTTCCCTCTGAGATCCTTCCCAGAATGCTCAGTGAGCTGGGCAAAATTCAATGTGGCCACTGCCCTCATATAAAATATAAACACTGGGAGATGAATGTGTGAACATATGGCTTTCTTTCTCAGCCATATGGAGATGTGTACTCACACAGCCTGACTGCTTCCCGAATGGATCCTATTTACAACGTCTTTAGTCATGCTTCAGTTCAAAAACACTGAAACATAGTTATTAATTTCACTTTCAACCCATATTGAGTCACTTGCATCAGAAAGTCATCATATTGCCGTTTATCCCCATTTAACTTGTGATATTTAAAGTTAATGGTAATCTGTCCTTTTGAGAGGATAATTCATCCATCACAGGAGAGTGTTGGCTTCTGTTCTTCATGGGAATATCGCCCTGGCAAACCAGTGTGAGGATGTATGAAATCTGGCACAGTATCCACCCGAGTTCTTAATTACCTTAGTGATGAAATTATGATGCTCATTTGAGAGACTCTCACAAAATCCTTGCCATTTTGTTTTATGATTTGAAAGCTTGATATTTCAGTTTGGAATTAATATTATTATTATACAATATTTTAACAAACCTGCTGCACTGCTTAACTTTTTTTTTTTTCATTTGCAAAAACCAATAAATGCCACTTTCAAAAAAAAAAAAAGAGCTGATTGCCACATATAGCGCGATCTGAACCCTAAACACATTTTGTCAAAAAAGACGGTTTTGTCCACTTTCAAGGCATCGCGAGTTCACGTTTTACTGCAGAAGCCGACAAGCGCCCTTGTTGTTTTTGAGCAGAAGCCGATAAGTCCATTTTAGCGAATCAGGGCGCTGTATTCAGGTCAGGTGACAAGGCTACTTTCACTTTGAAAAGTCTTTGTCAGTCACGTGCGTTTATTATGTGTGATGTCACCGAGGCGCCATTTTGAAGGTATCGTTGCATTGAGCAGTGAACTAAAAGTGTACAGAGCCCTGCAGTAAAGACCAGTTAAATTGTCATACTGGAGATGTTAGCCTGTGCATGTGTATTTTATTAGGGTCGGATCTCAACTCTGCAGTAACGTGGACCTCAAGGGCCAGAGTTGAGAACCCATGTAATAAAGGTTCCCAAGTTTGGCATACCTGTATAATGCTTTACTTTAAGATCACTGAAAAACTATCAGACATCCGGTATCGTTGCATTGAGCAGTGAACTAAAAGTGTACAGAGCCCTGCAGTAAAGACCAGTTAAATTGTCATACTGGAGAAACAGATGCAAACCAAGTAGATATGGTACCGAGATAATCTCAGCAAATTTTTTAAGGAACCGTAATTTATGTAATTTGTCACTGATGATGATTAACAATTAACACTGATCCATACTAACGTTACCTGACGCAAAAAGTTGAGTGCCACCGGCATCGCTGCCTCCAACCTCGTTGGATATATGATTATCTTGTTTACAGTATAAAAACTTATTTTATTTACTTATACACTTATATGTTCTGTTTTTGTCTACCATTGATTTGCACACATAATTTGCACAATTGTAAGTAATTACATCATGTGAGTCTCTACCATTAAACCTTACCCTGTTTGTTCACAATTTTCCGTACTTCATTTGGCTGATAACAAGTACTGATAAGTACTAATAACGTCTCAGGTTACTTATGTAACCATGGTTCACTGAGTAGGGAACAAGACACTGTATCATTGCTATTCTGTGTCCGAAGGACTCCACAAACTAGTGAGGCATAATTTTGTGCCTGTCACAGTTGTCTAAAACAGTGTTTGTGCAGGCAGATCCAATCTGAGGTGCATAAGGTTAACATAAGTATTTAAAATGAAGTGAGAATTTTTCTTATGTCTGACATGAAAAGCAGCATAAGGCAATAAAAACATTCATGGCAGGGATTCTCAACTCTAGCCCTCAGAGTCCACTTCCTATAGAATTTAGCTCCAACCTCAATCAAACTCACCTGCCTGTAACTTTCTAGTAATCGTGAAGATCTTGGTTAGCCTGTGCAGGTGTATTTTATTAGGGTCGGATCTCAACTCTAAAGTAAGGGCCAGAGTTGAGAACCCATGTAATAAAGGTTCCCAAGTTTGGCATACCTGTATAATGCTTTACTTTAAGATCACTGAAAAACTATCAGACATCCTGAGTTTACGCCACAGCAGTCAGTTTTCTTCTGCGCACACACAAGTAAGTTACATTCAGTTAGTGACACTGAGTGGTGTCGTGTGAAGCCGACCATCTCCTCCAGCCTGGTGGGTCATCGTCTCAGCTGGCTGCAATGTGTTTCCCTTTCATGGGAACTTCGAACTGCGTCCTCTAGGGGGTGCTATGGGGAACGCCTTGTCGTGACCCGTGTCTGAAGCATACATTGAAGAAACACCAACTCGTTGGCCGGCGACAGCCATGACGTCACTACCGGTGCGACTATAGTATAAATAGGCGCCGGGAGC